TGGCCTATTAATAGACCTCATTTCTTTACCAAAGACTTCAAATGAAATTATGTACTTGCTCTCTAATGTTTAAAGGTCTCAAAGATATTTTCACAAGTTCACATATTAAAAAAAAAAAAAAAGCCATGTCTGATTGTACACAGCAGAGATGAATTCTTTGAGAGGATCACCAAGTGATGGTTTGTATTCTGTGACCTCTTTACTACTAACATATGTTCAAGAGGAAATTAGGAGTGATTTCCGACTTCTCTCCTTTGCCAATTTCCTCGCTGTTTTCTCTCCTTTACACATGGGCACCTTTAAGCGGTGTGAATTGCATTTTCCTGCGCCCCCTTCTCAATTTAGAGTCTCTGTTTCCTGATGAGATTTCATCTCTTTGGCTCATGCAAAATAATCCTTCACTCATATTTTACATCAATTCATTCATTACCAGTTTGTACATTAGTCTACTTATATAAATGCTATCATTTTAATAAGTTCACATTAACTTATTGAATTCCTAATTGTATGCCAGAAATTAAAGAAACAAAATTTAGTCACCAGCGTCTTGCTGCTTCTCACTGATAATGTGCTCAGTTTTGAAGATAAGCACAATATCTAGAAATCTTAACTAAATCTACTATGGCTTTTTCCCTTGATGTTTCTATTTAGTTGTTGTAATGCAAAGTAACTCTCTAAATCAAATCAAAGTGAGCAGTTTCTAGTAACACATTCTTTAAAGATTTTTTTTATTGTGGTAAGAACAGATAATACGAGATCTACCCTCTTAACTCATGTTTAAGTATAAGCACAATGTTGTACAGAAGATCTCTAGAATTTATTCGTCTTGCATAACTGAACACATTTCTTCTATGTGTGTGTTTCAATAGCAATAAATCAGCTCTTTTTTTATTTTGGTAAGGTTACCCGATTAAATATGTTCTACAGTGTGGAAGAAAACAATACTTTGTGATTTGAATAGAAAAATAACGAAACTGAAAGCCTGAAATGTTTAAGAACTGACAGTGTTTCCAATGATATTTTCCTTTTCATTAAAAAGCAACAAATATCTTTTGATGCCGACACTCTCAACTTGAATGGAAATCTGCAATAGGGTAACGAGCATGAACAACAACAAACTCCTTTATAACCAGTGACAACCAAAATCTACGAGGTTTTTAAAAGAATGTGATTGTTGTCAGAAGGAATCGGGTCCCACAGGCTGCTGTTGGGCTCTGGTTGCACTCAGAGCCCTGGCTGAGGGGCGCGGGGAGCGCTCTTCCGAGGCTGGTGGGCACAGACCAGCAAGAGAGTGAATTCTGCATACTGTACGGATCATCGCTCAGTTCAGGGCAGTCACATTGCATCTGGGATCAACCAACTGTGCTTCATGAAACCGTCAGCCCTCATTTGTGTCTCCATGTTTTCTTCTGTACGGCTGTAAATAAGGCCGGCTCGAGTTGTCCTCGACCCTCATCTGCACGGGCAGATCACACAGTCAGACCAAGTCAGCTGCCTGAAAGCTCAAGGTAAAGTTTCTTTTTGCAGAAACAATTCCAGTGCACACTGGGAAGTCACAAAGGGAAGCAACTTTGGAATGACAGAATTGGAGTCCCTTTTCCAAAACGCATGTCTTAGATTCCTACACATATTGGCGTGGCACATCTCTTCCACGAAATGAAATTAGGTGTTCCTAATATGAACGACTGTTTTTCCTCGGCAGACTAGCTCAGCAGATTCATCTTGTTGGGGAGGTGGGGATGGTGGTATCTTTTTTGTTGTTGTTGTTTCACTGCTCTGGGGCTTTGCTTGGATCAGCCAAAAAAAAGACATGGATAGAAATACTGTCAATCTGGTCCAACTCCAGGAAGCTAATCATGCCTGAATCGCTCAGAGGAGTATAGTGGTGGCAACCTTACAGGTATGTTGGCTTCTGTTCTCATCCACTTCGGCCATAGTGTCACCTTTACAATAAAGCAAAATACAGTTTTGCAGGAACATCTTCTCAATAATAAAAGAAAAGGGGTGTTATTGAAGCCCTTTTCCTTGGCAAGTGGCACAAAGGTAATATTGAGTATTCACTACACTGAATTCTCCTAGCCAGCTGGTGTGTCCCTGTTAAGACTTTCATTTATGCAGCTTGAGCTGGAGCCTGTTTGGTTCTCCCAGTCTTTTACTTTGTTGATTGAAGGGGTAACAGCCAAAGGGAAACAGCTTGTAATTTGCACCTGCCTGCTCTGAGCATTGCGTGTTAGATTCCGCGGAGAGCAAACCCTTCATTGCCAATGAGAGTAAGACTGGGGTAAGGCTGGATGCAGTTTTGTTAGGAGGATTTATAGTGTATTTTACTGTTTTATTTTTATTTTTTTGAGACTGATATGATAGGGACCTCCCTATTTTCATGTTTTAGAATCCCTGGAGTAAGACAATACAATTCAAAACCCATAAAGTTGTATATTCTTTAAAGAAATTTTTAAATGTCATGTAACTAAGAATTGAATTAATATTCAGCCTGAGTTGCCTCAGATGAGAAAGAAAAAAATTTAAATGCTAACTTATTTCCAAATTTCTAAAAGCATAAAATACTTATAGAGACCTTTATTTTGTAGACTTGGCAATGAAAGAAGGTAAACAAACAAACAAAAAACATTTTTAGACCTGTTTCAGAAACAGGACTAGTTTGGAAATAACGTCCAGTGCCTGAAAGTAAACCTGAGCTCTCTGCTTATATTGCCTTTGAAAATTTAGTTTTCTGACTCCAAACTAAAAATTCAAGTGTATGACTTTAAAATCATGCCTAGATAGACATAAACACGTTTATCCACCCTTATTCACCGAGTGAATCACCAAATGAATTCACAATGGCAAAAATGTCAGCACCTATGATTCTCTCCAACCTTTTCCAGTTCTCTGCATTCCCCTTAGCTTTGATTCCTTTGAGGAGTTATATCAGTGGGTTACCATCTATTTTGAAAGAATTAAGTTAAGCTCATTGAGATGAAAGGACTTTAATCATGGCTTATGATATTTCCCCAACCTTATGTGTTAAAAAAATCATAATAATAACATTTAAATAATTAGGCAAAATGTTCCCTAAGATGATCCAAAATTTAGTAAACTAAAAAAAAAAAAATTCTAAAGCCTATTCATCAAAGGATTCTAAAATGCCCTGCATTGGCACTTCCTGTTAAAGTAACAACTTGTTATGATGATGGGTTGAATGAAGTCGAGGTAGCCACAAATGTGTCTCACTAGTAATTAATATAGTCGAATATAGTTGTTGGCCCACATCTTGCCTGACAGATAACGTTCCGGCTTGTTCAGCGATGACCCTTTCAGCACAGCTCTAGGAGTTCTGCCAGCCATTGCCGAGGCTGGTCAGGTCAAAGGGTTGAGCCATGTGTAATTCAGAACAGAGGAGGTCCCACGGTCACTCCACAAAAACAATTACACTACTTATTTCACTCTAGCCCTTGCCCAAAACTCACAATCCTCACAGTTTCAGAGCAGCCAATCTCATTCTGCCCCTGGGCAATAAGCCACATGAAAATATGTGGTGCTGTGTTTATAAATCTACTCAAAAATAGAAACAGTGGACAGGCACCATGAGGTCCTACTATAGATCATGGGAATCCCTGAAAATCATGAAGGCACTTTTGTTTCAGGTCTATAGACTCTCTTTTGCTACAACATTGTCTGCTACCCTCGTTAATCATCCTCTTTGCTCCTGGGTGCTACAAAGGAGGCTAAATTTCTACTCACTTCTATACTTTCCATCCATGGATAACATTATGAAAAATAAAGCTTAAAAGGCTGCTTTTAAAAGAAAAAAAAAATCAAAGAGGGAGCTTCTGTTGCATGCATCTTACCTCTCTCTCCATGTTCTCAGCTCTTCGCCCTTGGCAATGCACAGATTTAAATCAAGTTCCTCTAAAACAGAAAAATAATATTTGAAAACCAGAATAAATTGACCCAATCATGAGATATATTAAGCAATTTGGGGTTGGAGAGCTATGATGCTACTTAATGGTCCTGAAAAGTCTAAGTATAAGGTCAACAGGACACAATTTGGTGTCTTACCTTTATTGTTGTTGCTCTTGTTTATTTAGCCAGACTCCTAATAAACTGAGGGTCAGTAAATATTCATAAAATGTTTTACAAAGGCAACCTCTAAGAAAAATTCAGACTTGATTTAGAGAGCCTAAATTTCCTGTTTTATGCCCCAAAGGTGACAAATTCAGACTGCATTGAAGTTACGATGACAACTTGCTGCTGCATGCCTTAAGTAGCTGTACCATGTTTATCTTTTAAAAAATTATGACTCTGCTTTGCAACTGTCATAAATAGATAATGTCTGATAAAGTCAATGATAAAGATGTGTACTAAGGGGCCAAGTAGATGAAACCCTGGGAGCATCCTCCAGCAAAGATATGAAATATAAAAATTTTAATGAAAGGAAATGTGTTTTTAACACTCTTAAAATTCCTTAGAGTCATGCAATAAATTATCCAGTTCAGTCTGTAAGCTATTCCATTTGATATTATTTCAACTGACAGAAATACTACACCAGAATCCAGTCTAGGGCCAGATAATTATAATAAATGGAAAATTTTAAAAATGAATGATGGTCTCAGCATTAGTTAAATTACCATAAACATTCACCAAAAGAGTCTTTTAAACTTGGAATTTGCACTTTTGAAATGGTTATCTGTATTTGGCAGTAAAACAAAGCATATCACATATGAATGATACATGCAACACTTTTTTTTATTAAGAGCTATCAATTATAGTTTTAAAAAGTCACTTCACAAAAATGTATATTAGCTTTTAAATAGCTATAAATATTGGAATAAATGAAAGATTTTAGTCCTTCTACTGCTAATTGTAAAACTCTTCTTTATGTAAGAGTAATATAAAAGATTCAAAGATTATGTTGAATTACTTCCTAAAATAAGGAAAATACATGTAAAATTATTCAAAAGATAAAAATCATCAACAAAACAAAAAATTTTTAGACAAATAGCAGAAATTGAAATTTGATGTGTTTGTTTCTTCCATGACACAGTGACTGAAGAGTAATTCATATTTCTGGGAACATATGCGGAATAGAAATCTGTTTTCTTTTATTTCCTTGAATTTGGTTTTCATCTAATAGTTAATATTTGTCTCTTGAAATGTTTGCAAATTATAAAGTTGCTCATCTTATTGTCCTCATAACTTTATTTTTCAGACATATTACCCAAAGCGTACCACCCAAAAAACACAAGTTGCCTCTATAATATCAATGGGATGCTCAGGAAACTTTCAAATAAGCCAGATCATTTCACTTCCTTCACAGAAGGCTGCATTTTAAACATCTTTCTGCACAAATATTCAGATGCAGTATTGGTACAGTAAGACTCAGTACAATTGTGAAATGAGATTAAAATTCCTCACCACCTCACACAAAATAAGTGGTTGACTGTAGAGAGCAGCTTGGTAGAAGTGAGTAGTGCATGATATAAAAAGCAGCTATCAGCAGAGGAGGCATAAAACTATCCATTCCCCTGTCTCATAAACAAAGGGAGTGGCACAGGGTGATTCCCTGCTTGGGAATCTCTGAAAGCTTAGGTGAGGCATTCTTTGCAATAAAGAATCTCAATTTCTGAAGTTTGTATGAGCTGGAATTTGGGGGTTGTAGGCAGATCCCTCATAACTGGGGGACAACCAGCAGAACGTGGACAATGAAGAACAAATCACCCACCCTGAGCCAGAGAAAAATTAGTGAACACATGACCTGGCTTTATAGCATCAACAGGTTTTGGGCAATGTGTTGGCTCTGATTAAAATATTGATACATGAAAATGTGTCCCAATTGCAATTCCTAGGAGCTTAAAATGAGAAAATAAGAAAGAATTGTTAAAAGATCAAAAGTAGCCCTTCAGCTGTTAAGAGCTCTGGCAAGTCATGTGGATGGAGAAAAGAGGTGTGAGGCCGGGCCCCAGGGGCCAGAGGAGCTAGATCAGAGTGCAGGATGCCGGCCCCCCTGTAAATTGTGCATGGGGAGCAGAGTGAATCTGAGGAGTGAATAGATTAGGATTCAAGTTGGAAAGGTAAATGGAAAAGAAACGTAGGAGCGAAGAATGGGGATGAAAATAAGCATGACAAGTTCATAGGATGATGAGTAGAATTTGTCAGTAAATAATAATTTCAATAAGTTAGTGATTAATGAGCAGATACCATGTCCTCTTAACAAAACCTATCACTCGAGTAACTGGCAAAATACGAAGTCCATCAGAAAACTGATGCATTTGCAGGTCCCACAAGACCTGCATTGTCAAGAAAGTCCCAAGTAGCTTCCTTTTGGTGAAGGGGAAGAAAAGAAGTTATAAACATTATAAATTTACAAAAAATCTTCGTTTGGGCTTTATGGGGAACACTTAACTTAACAAATAAACTAATGGATACCATTACAAAATTCTCACCATGGCTACAAGTTTGGACCACAATGTAGCATGTTTGTAGAAATGCAAGTGGCCTACAATAGGGATCATATTTTAAAAGCTAATATCCAACTTGCAAGCATATTAATAATTGCAGCATAACCTGCTTGCAAGTAACCTATTGGCCACATTCCGTTGAGCCCAGGTTAATAAGCACCACTGATTTATTTTTTTGTTTGTTTGTTCTAAATGAAATGGCTTTCACTGAAATTGTTGACCTTGTATTGCGAATGAAGCCTTGGAATTGCCAAATCTCTGACAACTGGTTCATTGCTTCCAGAAAAAGGAATTAACATGGCTACAGCTGTCATTCCATTGCATTTCTCTTCTCAAGCAGACCAGCAAGGGCAAAGATGGTGTTAGACAGAGGTCGCAAGCCAAATTCTGTCTGCAGACATGTTTTGTTTGAGCTCAACAGTAATCTGAAAAAATGTTGAGCCAATATTTAAAAATAAGAAAATTGCAAATTAAAATAAAAATCCAATTTCTGGCTCCTCTTGGAAAATTAAAAACTTTGATAACATAGGGTCGGTGTCCGTGGTTGGAAGCAATTGGCTGGAGGCGAGTGGTGGCGGAGTGCTTTCCAGGCAATGTTCTCCAGGCCCACAATCCCCACCCTCCCTAGTGCAGACCACAAACTAAAATGTAAACTCCTTAAGGGCAGGGATTGTTTTAGTCACTGTTACTTCCCTGGAATCTAGAACAGCGCCTGGAAAGTAACAGGTGCTTGATAAGTATTTAATGTCGAATGAAACAATCTGGGGCAGATAGGTAACATTAATGGATAGTTTTAAGACAATAGGGAGTGTCCAGAAACCATCATAATGTATGCCCCAATTAAAATGTGTGTGTGTAAGACAAATACATTCTGTCACTCCTTAGGCAGAGAGAGTCCCCACATACCATTTTGCTTGCACTACTATTATTCTTATAAAGGAAGATTTCTCTGTATCCCTTCCACTATCAAAAGTAGAGCCACAAGTTTCAAGGAAAATGAAAGCAAACATAGACTCAGCACATTTGACTCATTTATATTTCTTGTCTACATCTGAATTTGTTTTTTTTTTAATTTTTTTTATTTCAGCATATTACAGGGGTACAAATGTTTAGGTTACGTGTATCGCCCTTGCCCCACCCAAGTCAGAGATTCAAGCGTGTCCATCCCCCAGACGATGTGCACCACACCCATTAGGTGTGTATATACCCATCCCCTCTGCCCCACTCCCATCTGCCCGCCACCCGATGAATGTTACTACTATATGTGCACATAAGTGTTGATCAGTTAATACCAATTTGATGGTGAGTACATATGGTGCTTGTTTTTCCATTCTTGGGATACTTCACTTAGTAGAATGGGTTCCAGCTCTATCCAGGATAATACAAGAGGTGCTGCTAGATCACCATTGTTTTTTGTCACTGAGTGACCTCCATGGTATACATATACCACATTTTATTAATCTACTCATGTATTGATGGGCACCTGGGTTATTTCCACATCTTTGCAGTTGTGAATTGTACTGCTATAAACATTCAAGTGCAGATGTCTTTTTTATAGAATGTCTTTTTTTCCTTTGGGTAGATACCCAGTAATGGGATTGCTGGATCAAATGGTAGTTCTACTTGTATCTCTTTGAGGTATCTCCATATTCCTTTCCATAGAGGTTGTACTAGTTTCCAGTCCCACCGGCAGTGTATGAGTGTTCCTATCTCTCCACATCCATGCCAATACTTATCATTTTGGGACTTTTTGATAAAGGCCATTCTCACTGGAGATAATGGGGATAAGTGATATCTCAACTTCTGAGAGAGAGAGAGAGATGAAAGGCGGCCTGGTACACACAATAACAAACTGCTCTACCATTCTTCTCTCTCATCCTGTCCAGTAGTTTTCTGCACTACAATCTATATCTACATTGAGGAATAAGTAAAAAGATGAACATAAAGCCTACTTTGGAAAGTCTCTAGTTAAACCTAACACAACACTGTTCTACATAGTCAGAATAGCAATGTGGAATTAACTGGTGTATACAGTTAGAAAGGTACTGGGCAAACCTCTTGCACACAGAGAAATTGTCTAACCTCTAAGAATCTCTAGTTGCTCTGCAGGATAGTTGAGAAAATTTTTAAATTATGTATGTTGGATTTCCAGCTTCCACTTAGAGTATACAAATCTGGAAAGAGCATTGTTTCCAAATGTACAGCAAAAAATTTCCTAAATAATCTGCAGATCCACAACTGCTATTAAACTCATCAAAGAGCTGAGGTCATCTGGTAACCAATTAACTCCAAGTCTAGAGAAAATTAAGTGCCTCCCAGGAATGACAAGATACAAGCACTTGCCTACTGGAACAGACATGAGACCCCTTACGAAGGAGTAAGAAGAATTCAGCCAAAAATTGTTAACAAATTTCTAAAGTCTGAATGTGACCTAGGTGAAAGTATAGAACTTGTGG